GAATTAAGAAATAAAGACACCTACTAAAAGTTAACAGTAAAAAGAGGTGAAAGATATTTGCAATTCTTTTTTTCTACTATGAAAACCTCCAAGATTCAGCAACTCACTGGAAGTAAGTTTACCAGTACGTACAGAGGGAAAACTGAAACTTGACAAAGGTACTGCATTCAGCTTCACATTCTTACATGAATTCTCCATTTCTTAAACAGAAGCCACAGAAGTTATGAAAATTCCCGATCCGTTTTCTGAAGAACATCCTTAGGTATATACATACACACTTTCACACACACAAGCACATCACACCGCACACACGGGAAACATTTAAAATGCCAACAGATCAACAACGACATTTTAAAACATTTTCAAACATTTTCTTTGGCTTGCTTTTCTTTTTTGATTTCCCTATTTTATTATTGCATTTATCAATAATAACAATGAAACACTGCAGAATGAATCTGTACTTGATATATAGATCTCAACTGTAAAAATAAAAAAATCATGCAGCAGTACATCGAGACAGTTGGATATGCTAGAGAGAATTTTCAAAAAAACCCCAGTACTCTTAGTATCTGTTTGGAGGAACCTGCTACTGCATCAACCATTGGGAATGTGGAACATATGCTTGTAAAAACATCTCATTTATCATCTCAGCATCCTCTAAGAACTTCTCTGGAGAGGAAAGTGAAGCCCTGCATTGCACATTGCAAATGACCACTGTGTCCGAGTTCTGCACAAATGATCAAAAAGATTGCCAAAAATAAAAGCTCAATAGGCTTTGAAATTATTTTTCTTTCCAATTAAAAGCAACAAAGATAGAAGTTTCCTTTCCTTTTCTAACAGCAATACACACTCCTGTGTACTTCAGAACTTGAATGCTCTGAGTCAGAGCTCAGATGGTATACTAGTAAAGCTAGTAAAACACAGCTCTCTGATAAGTGCTTAAGTATTGAGTAATTGAGTATCAAGAATACTGATATTCCAAATATGCTATACCCAGGCAGTAACTGTATTTCCTATAGATAAGAGTTCTTATTTATCACAGAAGCGACTTCAAAATACTACTAGGAGAAATTATACTTACTGTTGCAAATTTGTTTTTAACAGTATGTAGTACTCGGCCATAACGAAGGCTCATTAGTTATCAGTTGGCATATAAAAATGACTGCTCATCACCCCTAAGCTTACAAGAAGAAATGAACCCTAGCCACAGACTGCAGCTATTTATAAACACCTGTATAAAGTTTCGAGTCATTTACAGCTGTTAAGCATGTGATCTGAATGCAAAAGGGTGCTTTCCAAACTCAGCGATACCGCTGCTTGAACTATCTCAACATAAAACACATGTAGGCCTTTTCTTATTTAACTGCACACAAAGACTCATGGAAACTTTGAAGAACAAAGTAATGATGGGACTGCTAAGACCAGTTTGCTTTAACTGTCAGTCCTGCAATAGCATAAATGATATACTCTGGCTCAATACAAAGCCTTGGTTTCTTACTATGCAGGGAGCCAATAAACACTAAATAATCATCAATATCATCACATGAAATAGATCCCAGTTTAAAATTTAGATCTTGGTATTCATGAGTCCCTTCTTACCTTCATGGCAGTTTCAGAAATTATTTAAAATACCATTCTGAACTTACTACTTTTGTTTAAGTTTAGCAAAACCTAGTTGTTTATCACCGTTCACATAGTAATAGTCTGATTTTAATTTATACAAAAGGTCAGGGCAGCTTTATTTTTTTAATGATAGCCAGAAGTGACTGGACCTCCCAGGAGGATATAATTGTATCACAAGCTATTGCTGCTGTTTGCATTAGGGTACTTAAGCTTATTAGAGAAGCAAAAACATTCTTTATTACCTACAAGCATATAAAAGAGTATATAAGCTGACCAAATGCTTCAAGATAAGCTTCAAGAGATACACAGATAGGAAAACAGTCACACTGTGGTTTCTGACTCCCTGGACACAAACGTTTTTCTTTGCAGAAACTGAAAGCACTGCTTGCTTTCACCATTAACGTGACCTCAACTGATACAATTTTTCAAATGTGGAATGTGGGTGGTCAATTGCTTGTATGCAAACTTCAGTAATTGCTGCTTGCAGCAGAAGGGAGACAGGAGAGGATTTGCATAAGGCAGACATCTTGTTACCTTCAACTGTAGAATCTGAATGAGCAACCCAACGCTTTCAAAGACATAGCTAGCTTTGTGTTAATCATAAGGTACTTCTCGCTTCTTTGATACTTAAATTACTAATACATTATTACTACTAATTTTAATGCTCACATTATGAACACTTACTTTTTGCTGAATCTGCTTCAAAACTCCACCACGAGACCCCTTAGATTTTTAATCAAATCATGGTCTGAGACCTTTTTTTCCCCTTAAAAGTGAAGCAGTTGAAAAATTTTTAAAGCTACTAAAATTTGAGCAATCCCTAATTCTTGAGGGGGGGGAAAAAAAAAAAAACCAAACAAAAAAATCCAGTATTACTTTTGTTTATTCCCTCCCAGAACATGACAGGTAAACTTTGCCCCAGCAGCAGCTGGAGAGACAGAAATGTACGCAGTGTAAATAAAGAGCACATAGTGAAAGATCTCCATGAAGGTATTTACATTCAAGAGTGTGGAGAAGAGTAATAACTCAAACAACAGCACAGCATTTAAGTTATCCCATCAGTGCCTCCTGTCTCAAGTGAAGACAGATGTCATCAAGGATCATCAACATCACAGATGTTTTATCTCTACTGCTACAGCATGTTTAATAGAATTTGCATAAAGAAGTTCATCTAGGCTAGGGTGTCCTACAAGGTATTGGCAAGTAACTAGCCTGTCTCTCCCACCAAGCATCCCAAACAGCTTTCAAATTTGAGTTAGACTAGGCCTTGGGCAATCCACCTAAAGCAACTTCGGTACCTCACATCACATCTAGTGTTCCATTAGGAGAAAACAGATCTCCTTACACTGTGGAAAGAAAGGTTTGGTGATGTGGTAAAACTGGAGACAGGTTTATGCATTGAGGTTGCAGGTGGATGAGGCTTACTCAATACACGAAAAAATGACAGAGACAAACGATGACAGCAGAAGGCCAGCATCTTCTCTGCTGGCTAAGCCTACAGTTACTTGTTCCCCTGCCAATGTGTGGAACTGGCTGCGAGCAGCTGGGAAACCAGCCATCCCTCTTTGGTGTTGTGACATATTTACTCAGCAATTGCTCCAGCTATTTCGCGTGCACAGTCAGGATTTGACTGCCTTTATTCACCAAAAGCCAGACTTTAAAGTGGATGTCCCCAGGTCACGCACAGTTGTATACTGTCATTGATACAGAATGATCACTAAGCAAACTTCTGTGATTATCAGAACACAACTGACTGTTCATATCTAGAAAATACCAGTTTGCCTAATAACTGGGATAGTAGGTGCATATTTAGCAATGCTATAAAATGTAGTTTTGCTCATGTGTGCGAGTTTTTTTTCTTTAAGTAAGCCTACAATGCTGCAAGCTGAGTCTAGATAGAAAATCCTATCTATCAAAAACTAGATACTGGTAAAATAACCACACCCATTTTGCCATCGGCCTTGCATAGAAAGTAAAGCGGTACTGAGTTTTGATATTTTATCTACAACTAACTTATTATAAAACAGCTGGGAAAGTCCCTTTGTCTTTCTTTGTTAGTGTTTTCATCTATATAATAATAATAATATGTATAATGAGAGTAGTAGGTAGAGATGGCTTGTGATGGTATGTCATTAGAATGCTGTACTTGTAAATTGATACAAAATATAAGGTACTTTGCAAAAAACCTGTCTTGACATCTGAAGTAGTGATTTTAAATGATGAACCAGAACAGCAGAAGAAAGCATTGAGTCACCTCTGCAGACTCAGAACTTCAGACTTCTCTTTCTTGATTCCTCATTCAGAAAATGAGGATAAAATATTGTCCCAACTAAGAGAAGAATCACAAAAATAAAGCTGAGCTCCTTGCTGCAAGCAAGTGAAACCGCTGGTGCCTGCATGCATATCTTTCATTTCCCCTTTACTGAGTGCCCAGCTTTGCAGGTACTGGTTTGATTTGTCGTGTTGAACCTTGCAAAGACACGTGAAGAAAATGGGAGCAGTAAATACACAGTATTTCTGTGAATAAGGAAACATAACAGGGAACAACATGCACAGGGACAAGGAGTCACAGGTTTCTGGTTCAGATTAAGGACTGCCTCTGATTTATATGAGTACTTTTATCTTTTCATAAAATTTTTCCATCAGTCAATTGTATAATGCGTCCCAGTACTACCAAGGCAATAACAGAATATACACTAACAGTTTTGAGGCACGTGGATAATGCAATAAACATCTATAAACGCATGAACAAAGAAATTAGTATTTCTGTGAAAAGCACCGCAGTTTTGCTGTACAGTACAGGCTGGAGCCCATACTGAAATCTGAGAAACTGCAAAAGGATGATCAATTTTTAACTAATCACACAACATGTGCTTGGCCAGTTAAGACTATCCCAGAGTGGATACACATGTAGGAACGAATTAACATCGCTCATACAACTTTTACTCCTTCACTTCCCAACTTTTCAGTGCCAGACTTCCCCCTCTTCAGAAAAGTTACATTGGTATTTCGAGGCTGTAACAGACTTATTAGATACCACTTGCGCTCTAGGGCTACTTTCAAGGAAAAGTTATCTCAAACCGTCCTGAGGCACTAAGAACAGCAGTAAACACAGTCAATAAAACAGTCATTAATAAAAAGGTCGGGCACAATTTGCCACGAAAACACGCAAACAGGTGACGCGAGCCGAAACTCCAAAGGGATAAATAAATGGATAAATAAATAAATAAATAAATAAATAAATAGATTTTGGACCAGGCACGCTCACAGGGTGTGCGCACCCGCTGAGCACCCAGTAGGGTTCCCCGCGCTCCGACCCCACCCACCCCTGGGCAAGGACGCGGGGCGGCCTCCCCGCCCTCACACCCCGCACCGACCTGCCGGCCTCATGGCTCCGCCGCCCCCGCAGCGCTTCCCTCGCCCGGAGAGCGCTCTCCCGGCACAAGGGCGATGTCCCGGCCCCAGGGCGATGACCCGGCCTCAGGGCGATGACCCGGCCGGTCGCCTCCAGCGGGACGGAAGCGCGAGGTCGGGGCTGGCCCCGGCCGCTCCGCCGCCCGCTCGGCCCCACCCCATCTGCCCCGCTGAGCACACCCCCACACACCCCGGCCGTGGGAGCCGCCGGCCGCCCGAGTTGTTTCTGTGGGGAGAAAACGAGGAGCGGGTCTAGCGTTCTCGGCTGCGCATAGCGGTGGGTTTCAGTGTCAAACTGCAGCAGGTGGACCGGGCCGTCCTCCGTGGAAACGCCCGCCGAGGGCGAAAGGCAGCAGGGAGGTGTGCCCCGGAGTGAGGCACCTGCTGGGAAGGTGTTCGGGTGCGGCGTTGGTTAGCTCCGCCACACTGTTAAGACGTATATTTATTTTTTGGCGTGGCAAGGAGTAGTAAATCAAAACAAAAAAACAAAAACAAAAAAAAAAGCGAGACAAGTGGCCCACGAGAGAGACTGCAAACGCTTCAGCTCACTGCTGCTCTGGCTATCAAATTTAGTCAGGGGACATCGATCAAGGTAGCATCATCTTTTGAGTTCAAAATAAAGGCCAGGCTCACCACAGGGAGCCGGAGTTGCCCCATAAAATAGGATTACAGGAAAACTGAAAGTACCGCCCGAAATAAGTTAGTTTCCAAAGGAAGCAAAGCGTTTTGAACTGCAATTCAGCCATAGGTGTGTGCTTCCTGCCCATCTGAACTCCTGTGCTCACCTTCCCTACCTGAACTTTAATGCTTTTTGGCTGATTTTGGTGAAACTTGTCAAAGGTTTTAAGGATCTCAAAAGGTGAATTTGCTAAGAACCACTTTCAGGAATGTGGGTATCCAAAATTAAGAGACTCTGCCTGAACTGAAGGGAAGGCTGCAGAGTGAATTCAAGCAGCATTAGAGAAAGGAAAATCCACACAGAGGCAGACTTTACAAATGTCTCAGTGTGACAAAACCTTCAGTTTGCAATCGACCACAAACCACAAATGTGCAAGAGGCTGGACTTCAGAGAACTACTTCTGTAAAGGCTTTGCATGCTGCAGGGACCATGTCCATCCAAAATATGTAGAAAACAGAACCATCATGAGCTGTTCCTGTTTCTGTAATTATACAGGTAGATTTATTATTATTATTATTATTATTATTATTATTATTATTATTATTATTATTATTTGTTATGTTTTGGGGGTTTTTTTTCAGTTGCTTTTGCTAACGTATTGGTAGTTTTGGTGAATTTCTCATTTGGCCTGGCCTATCACACAGAGGAAATGTCTAGCTACAGGGGAAATATCTAGTTAATTTCCCTAAACACAGGGAAAATCCAAACTAGATCCAATCACATCAGTCTATATGTGCATCAGGAAGAGCCTGGAATATCTCCCGTTGTCCCTTTCTGTTCATTTTTTCCCTTCAGGTTTCATTCATTGAAGAGACAGATATCTAGGTAATACCTAATTGCAGTAATGTATTTTTGGACGCATGGAACACAGCATTACAGTGTCAGTAGTCTTGAATTGTGTGCAGGATGAACATGAATGAGATGTCATATAATAGAGGCTGGAATATGCCAAGAGACCTTCCTTTTGTTACTTAAATTCCCACCTACTAAAATAAAAATAAAGGAGTTCTAGGATGGAACATGATTCTAAAAAAAAAAAAAGTTACTGTACACAGTAACACTGTCAGTTAAGGGAAAAATGGGTGAACTGAGACAAATGTAATCATTTTTTTCTCTAGTACAACTATGATTAAATTGGCTAATGACACAGATGAAGCATAAGAGAATATAAAATAGGTGGCCTGGAACATAAAAGCACCGCCAGTATATAATGAAAATTATTTGTGTCATTCTGTAAGTTCATTCTTATATATATATATAAAAATCTGTTTCCTCCCACAGCATCCTCAGTGGTCACAACAGAGTTTTATGTAGTTTTGAAAAAAATTCAGATACATTATATACTTGTGTGGATTTTTTAAAGTTTTTTTTATAGGCATAACAGAGAGTAGAAAGAAAATTCTTCCCTCCTTCCTCCCCCCTGCCCCCGTCTTATATATAGAATATAATTTCATGTACAGTTACCTGTTACTTTGTTTTATGTTTTGGTATGCATGTGCAGGTCACATTAATCCCCAAGATTTTGTTTTTTAAAAAAAATCTATTAATTGGGTTACCACATTTAAGCCTTCAGTGGTAACAAACTGAATGAATCATGTTGTGGTTAGAAACCAATTCAAATGCTGTTTTCAGTGTAAGAAAGTCAATGCCCCAATATAATGCCATATAGCAAGATGACCTTTATTTGAAAACATGTATTGAGAACTACATCACTAATAAATAACATGATGCAGTGCCAAACAGGATGTTTTAAAAAAAGTAGATTGAATTGATTAAATAGACAACAGAGTTGCTTATGGATTTTAAATAAAGCTTGGTCATAAATGAAAGCTTGGTTTTCTTAACCATATGCAACATGCAAAGAAAGGAATTTTCAGGAAGACAGTAGGTAGTTGCTGAAGTCAGTTCAGACCCCCAGTACCAGTGTGTTTCTTTGCTACATTGGATGTATATGTGCTGGATTTGCTAGACCTAGATTAATCACTGTCTTTGGGCTGCATTCTTGGCTGGTGCAAGTCAGGTTTGTTCCTTCTTCAGCCACCTCCAGGTCCATGAATACACCCTCCTATGCATTATTCTTCTTTTTTTTCTCATAATTTTTTTTCAAGTTAGCAAAATATCTGCCAGTATGTCTAGCAAAGTAGTGACTGCTTGAACCACACAGGAGTAATGATTGTCTTGTCTCTAAAATTAATTGTTAAGAATGGTGTGGAAGATGAAGGCAACACTTGAATTGCATTCTCGAAAAATAACAGATGTCTAAATTGCAAACAGGGAAGGTATTTACCATGACTTAATAGGATGGTAGGACCATGTGGAAATCTAAAACTGATGAGGCTATTGACTGGGATTGCAAAGAGAAATATCCAGTAATGAAACCGGAGCAAAGTTGATGTGTAGTTCCCAAGCAATAGTCAGCACTTGCTTCTTATTGATCACATGTGCCTGAGAGAATTGAGGTGATATAATTTGCTTCTCAGTGACCGTAGAACACTATCCATCCTGACGTTTGATTTGTGGAGAGCTATTTGTTATTTTTCACAATGTAATTATTGTAATGTAATGGTTTGTTAAGCAATGTTGATTTACAGACTCTGCCTCCTAATACAGTAATGCTCATACCTTTAACCACTGACCATAGAATTAATTTAGTCCAGATTTTAGTCATTCTTCTTCAAGTAAGAAATTCCTTTTCACATACAATTGAAGCCATATGAAAAAAAAAATAAAATGTCTATCAAGGAATATTTTCTAGTAGCACAAAGTTCAAGTACTTTGTGGTAGTTTTCAAAGACAAGTTGTCAGGTGGCAAATGAATGATAAAGAACCTTGCAGTGGAATGTTCTTACTCACTTTTGAATTGGAGTTACTGAAAAATAGGTTGCAGAAAACACTTCAAAATGAACAGCTCAATCCTGTCAGACCAGAAGAAATAGACCATATGACCTAGGAGATTTTTGCTGAAATTACAGTCTAATTTGCCAATATTTTGCTTTTCAACTAATGAGAAAATCTAACAGTTCCTATTGCAGAAGCAATTTCAGCATACATTACATTGCCATTTGACTGCAGATAGCTATTTGCTAAGATACAGTTCTTTTTCATATTTACCTGAGCATGTGGTTTTCCAGGGCCTTTTTAAAGCTTTTTTTTTTTTTCTTAGAATGGCTGAAAAATGCAATAAAGTAGATTTTTTTCCCTCAACATCTTTTTTCCTCTTACTGACTTAAAAGATCTGAAGAAACTGAAGCCAGTCCTTCACAAAAGAATTGAAGAAAGGAGTGAGACAATTCAGACAGGAAACTGCAATTACCCATCCAGACTTAAAAGATTGGACTAAAAGTGGGAAAGGATTTGAGAGGAGGAATGATGCTAATGAACATACCTGGAGCAGTTCTTTAACACATAATAAGGAAAAACTTGTGAAGAAAAATCTGGTGCGTAGCTGATGTTTTCATCCCAAAAAATCACTTGGTCTGGAGCCTGCAGAGCACTCTGTTAGTGATGCTGTTGGTATCTCTCCTAAAGTCATGGCACGGAGTTATATGGATAGAGGCTGAATTTAGGAGCTTTTACATAGGATTATTCTTAAAATGCAGTCACTGGCCTTGGCTGGAGCTAGAGAGGTGGGCAAGATTTTGCTGGGGCATCTGGCTGGCAGTGTGGATTCCATACTCCTGTCCATACGGCTGCAATAGCAGTATTGTGCGTCCTGCACAAATGGCCAGCTAAGCAGTGCAGTGTCACGGAACTGAATGTGAATTTCAGACAAAGTTTATGTCTAAAGAATTGTATAGGTGTAATGAAGCCTTTGTATGACTTTGTCTTGCAGGATTAAAGATGGCAAACCAGATATTAATTATTAATTAACTGAATGCTTCATTTAAATTGTTAATGATAATAATTGGGTAAAAATAAATAAAACAAAGATAACAACGCAAAATAGTAAAAAGCAAAAGGACAAAATGTAAAAAGAACAAAAACCCTGTAGTCAGAATTCTTTACTACCCAATAAAACCAATATAGTTCACTTTTTATTAAATCAATAATATCCGAAGTAGCTTGTTAAGTAGAGATTGATCTTACTCACCCATAGCAAGGACCGTGGGCAAATCTCTTTTTATCAGCCTGGAGGGTTATCCTTGAGGGGCAACCCCACCCAAGGGAAGGATCATCACAAACCTTAGGAAGGAATGGTACAAATCCCCACCATGAAAAAATGGGACTGGCCTTTTGCAGCACAGAGTGACTGTCTGTCAGTCATATACATTTTTATGTTATGTGTTGTAATGCCTAG